CCAGTTCCTTCACCAACCCTGGGTGAGCACTCCAGAATGGCTCCTCCTGCTCTCTCACCACCCTCAGGTGAGCACTCCAGAATCGCTCTTCAGGCTCCCTCACACCCCCAGGTGAGCACTCCAGAATAGCTCTTTGGGGCTTCCTCACCACCCCCAGGTGAGTACTCCAGAATAGCTCTTTGGGTCCCTCATCACCAGCAGCTCAGTACTGCAGAATGACTCTTCAGGCTCCCCACCACCTCCAGGTGAGCCCTCCAGAATGGTTCCTATGCCTCTCTCACCAACCCCAGGTAAGCACTCCAGAATGGATCTTCGTGCTCCCTCACCACCCCCAGGTGAGCAGTCCAGAATGTCTCCGATGGCTCCCTCACCACCCCCAGGTGAGCAGTCCAGAATGTCTCCGATGGCTCCCTCACCACCCCCAGGTGAGCAGTCCAGAATGTCTCTGATGGCTCTCTCACCACGCCCAGGTGAGCACTCCAGAATTGCTCCTATAGCTCCCTTACCACCACCAGGTGAGCACTCCAGAATAGCTCTTGGGGCTCCCTCACTACCCCCAAGGTTAGCACCCCAGAATGGTTCCTCAGGCTTCCTCACCACCCGCAGGGCAGCACTCCAGAACGGCTCTTGGGCTTCCTCAACACGCCCAATTCAGCACTCCAGAATGGATCTCTGGCTACCTCAACATCCCAATCTCAGCACTCCAGAATGTCTATTTGTTTTCCCTCACCACCCCAAGTAGTAGCACCAGCGCTAGCACCAGCGCCAGCAGCAGCGCCAGCAGCAGCACCAGGAGCACCAACAGCGGCACCAGCAGCAGCACCAGGAGCACCAACAGCAGCACCAGCAGCACCAGCAGCACCAGCAACACCAGCTCCAGCAGCAGCAGCAGGAACACCAGCAGCACCATTTTGCAGTGCCATGAAACTTTTAGACATGCCCGTCTCCTAAAGCTGAACCTGAGATAGGGATTCTCATTTCAGTGATTTATCCCATTGAATACCCTCAGGAGTAAAGTCGTAAGGCAGCAGGAGAAGGTAGGGGAGGACATCCGGGAAGAACGTGTTTTCAGAATTCTGAGGTCTAGTCTGCTCCATCCCTGAGGCCCTGGATCAAGAATCGCACCCACAAGGCTGGTCCCGCCTGGAGTGCAGGACTGCCGTCCCCTGTTTTTGTACCTCTGTGCCAATGCGCGCCGGCGTCTGACGTGCAAGGGGCGCTCACACTCTACAAGAGGGTGCCGCTGGACTTGGCAGCCCACAGCACAGAACTCAGGGCTGGGTGCATTACCACCAGTAAAGGGGATCGGCATGGGGCACCAAGAACATCCGATGTACCTTTTGGATACGAGTTTTTACTCTTCGTATTAAATTTTTTAAAGTTTTCCCCACCCACTCTAGGGTCTTTCTTGTACCTTTTCTTATACGAGTTTTTACTCTTCGTACTAAAGTTTTAGTTTTCCCCACCCACTCTAGGGTCTACATAGATAGCTTGAGGTCAATTTCTCCTGCCATCTCAATACTTCTTTGTAACTCCACTGTCTGTACCTTCTCCAAAACTTCTCAATGTATTTACCCTTTATGTTTTCCCTTCCTATATCCATATAGAAAAAGCTTTCTAAAGTTTTTTCTCACTTCTGCTTTCCATTTCATCGCTTTCGCTCTCACCTTCAATCTCATCATTTCTCCTTGCTTTTCTTTTAAATAGTCGATTCCTTGAAACTGTGCAGTCTTTGGCCCACCACTTTTTACTAACGAATTGTGGAAAGAATACTTTTGGCACTCTCTCCATTGAATTATCATGTGTTCATTCCTTACCCATTTCCCTTTTTTGCCTCTCAAATTGCAATATAACCACACAGATTTGGAAGCAATAAAGGCATTTTTTATGATGACGTTTCAGCCTGATGAAGTTCTCCTGTTTGGTAAACTGATATAAAGACGATGGTATATTCCCTTGGCTTAGAAATTATTATGGAGAAAACGTTATTTCTATTTGGATGGAATACTTTGCTACACTACAATCAACAGCAATAAAATTTCCTTCAAAGATGAGGACATTGTAGTGATTGTAAGGTTGCTTGTTACGCAGAAAATTTAGATGGCTGTGATATTCAAGTCTGGGTCCAGAGCAAGATTGTTCCGCAGAGGAGTGGAGAGGGAAGGCAGGAAGGAAAGAAGAAAGGGAGGAAGGGAGGGAAAGAAGGCTTAGATGAGACTTCCTTCACAATTTTAAAATGTTTGGCCGATATATACACTTGCATACTCAAGTCACAAATGAAGCAAAGCAAAAAGCGTTTACAATTTCCTTCTCAGGAGTTAAATGTTGCAAATATATTGATGGCTGTAGTTCAAATTCTTACCAAACAGGTTCTTTTTCTCATGAAGAGAACACCACATCTTCCACATCTTAGGATTTGGTGTGTGGATAAGGCTGTCCTCACTTTGGCTAAAAATGGAAAAATACATTTGATGCCTAAAGATGATGCCTTAGGAGTCCAGGCTTGGAAAAGTCACATTTGTTTTGCTCTAACGTCCTCACGTGTGCCTATTTATTCACTAACTCCATGTATGTGGTGGTGATTTTCAAGGCAGACTTTAGCTTGCTAACCCCAGTATAACTCTTGCCAACTCCTTGATAAGAAAACCACATGCTCTTGAGGCTTGAAAACTTCACAAACCCCCGACAGGAGTCCCTGTGAGGGATAAGTGGCCTCCCATGTCCCCGTGCTTACCTGGTCACTTTTACGGGCGTAACAACACTGAACAGTCCGTCTTGGCATTCGGACTGATCCTCCACAGAGTCAGTCTTGCTCCTTGAAACCATGAGTATTGCTAGGGTTCGTGCGTCAAGCGACAGGAGGAGGGAGTCGGTATTTCATGGGCTGTCTAGATCAATCATTTTTGAGCGTAAATAAGTCGTACTTTCATGGATGTCTTTGGCCTACATTAGGAAACATGTGTGTGAGGAGCAAGTTGAAAAATAGTGTAAATGCAGGTTTGGGGCTGGCACATCACACTCTCCTTTAAGCAGTCTCTCTTTTCCTTCGAACAGCGACAGATACATCATCGTTTGAATGCAAATGCAGCTTAAGTGTCCTGAAACTGATTTACTGGAATGTCTCGTGATATTCTAGCAGAGACCTCACTAAAGGAATGCAAGATTGTGAAATCAGAGTTGCACCATGCATCCCAGGACATGGGATGATCGATGGGAAGGGCTTGCTCTGCGTGTTTCCCAGCCAGTGGGTGTATTTCATTCCCTCGATCCCTCAAACAACAGATGAAGGATTTTTTCAACATTAACTTCTCTCTGTTCAATTTCATCATCAATCTGTAATTCATTGCAGCAAGTGTTGTGGTGGGCATCTGTCTTGGCATTTCCCTGGTTTCTTTTGAAGCTGACGCCATTATTTTTTTTTCTCTTCCACAGGTGAGATGTTTCCATGAGCAATGTGTTGAGACGAGATCAACCCTTATTTCTTCAATGCCGCGTTTGCTGAACCCTCTGTCACGTTAGGCTGCCGATAAATGCAGGAAGACTTCTCTTCCCCCCCCCAGAGAACTTAACAGTCAGGGATGTAGATAGGCCATGGAAAGGAAGAGAAATGCAGTTCCAAACTCTTCATTCAATATTCTCTTACTCGTACTTTACACCTAAGGTTGACAAGCCTTCCATGTGATTTTCAAATAAGGGAATTGGTGACAATCATTCCAGCATTAGTTCCCTCAACCGTATCTTAAGTTCTACTACCGGGCAATAAATCAGTAACCAACTACTAATAAAGATAATACATGGGGAAGAAATTCTTCTGAACACACAATTTTAAGGATTGTTTCTTAAAGGTATAAAATGCCTTCCCAGTCACTGGGATGCAGAATAACAAGCCGGCAGAGGTTATACCCTTGTAGGAACATCATCAGCAATTATTTATGTCAGAACATAACAGCTAACGCCTTCCCCATATAGACACTGTTTAGTTCCTGAAAAAGCCATTGTGAATGCAGTCTGTTCTGCCGGCTGAGAGGCCCTAGAAGCCACTGCGCCTTAGTAGCAGCGAGCACACCTAGCACTTAAATCGTCATTTCTAATACCATTTTGCAATAAAAGGAACCAAGATTCCACTTCTTAGGAAAATGTCTGATTCTAGAAAATATACAAGATGCTCCTGTAGCAACTTGGAGTGGCAGAGAAGAAATTTCCAGGCGCGCGCGCACACACACACACACACACACACACAAGAAGTATCTCAAAGGGACATATAACTAGCTAAAAGAACTCCCAATTGCCAACATATTTTATATTTTGGAGTATAACCAAAATATAAATAATTATCAGGAGTGTGTACTGATATAAAAATAACTGAATAAATGGGGAGAAATGACAAATTTCTCATTCAAAAGAATTCCAAATGGCCCATGTAGATACTTTACCCTGTCTCCCCACTCCTTCATTCTGTGCTACTCTTAGTAAGTTCCTTCGAAAAACAGCAGCATGAAGACAGTGGGATATAGAAACTTTACTGTGGAGAAAACTGTCACACACTCAGGTGATCAACATTGAAAGCAGCGGTAATAAGTGGTGTTAATCATATGTACCCTTGAAATGATGTGGTTAGGACGGCACTTCATTTCTGTGGTATTCCGATAACATAGGATCCCGATGTAATCATGGCAAACACAGTAGGCAAAATCTAAGCTGAGTGACATTGTACAAAACATCTGACCGTAACTTCTCAAAACTGTCAAGATCATCCAAAACACAGGAAATCCACCCTGGCTGGTGTGGCTCAGTGGACTGAGCACCAGCCTGCAAACCAAAGGGTCACTGGTTCAATTCCCACTCAAGGCACGTGCCTGGGTTATGGGCCAGGTCCCCAGTAGGGGAGTGCGTGAGAGGCAACCACACACTGCTGTTTCTCTCCCTCTCTTTCTCTCTCCCTTTACCCTCTGTCTAAAAAATAAATAAAATCTTAAGAAAAAAACATGGACAATCCATGCTTGCTTAAGTAGCCCTTGCGCTGAAACTGGAACGACACCGTGAAGATTGGCGTGGCCCCTGTGCAAGGATGACTTGACACATGGAGATTGTTCTTAAAACATGCAAATCTGAGAAACGGGCAGAACAAAGAGGATCATAAGCAGACATGAACACTAAACGTAGTATGGTGTCCAGGATGCAATTCTACACCAAATAAAGGGCATGACGTAAAAACTAAGGACATCTGAATAAAGTATGAGCTTAATCATTTGTAAGTGGTGGTTCCTTAACTGTCACAGAAGTCCCAGCCTATTGTAAGCTGTTAACACAGGCAAAACTGGGTGGGGGTGTGTGTGGGAGCTCTGTGCTACCTGGACAATTTTTTCTGTAAATCTAAAAACTATACTACAGACAAAAGTTCATTTTTTGGAAAGGCAATTGTGAAAACTGTATTTCCTTTGTTATTTAAATAGGATATGTTTATTGGCTAAACCTAATTTAACTGGAGTGAAGGAAATCTCCCTACTCCTCTTAAACTCCCATGGCATTTATCACCATCTGACATCATGTGTGTTTATACCCTGAAAATATTTACCATGAAGGCATGCTCTATCACTGCGATATCCGTTAGTTGTTGTTGGTTAACAAGTCACACCCTGCAATTTAGTAGCTTTAAGCAAGTTGCGTATAACTCCGCACCTGTCTGTGGGTCTCTGGGTTTGGCTGGCCCGTGCCAGGTGTGTTCGTGTGTCTTTGGGCAGCTGGCTGCTGGCACTAGAGCCAGCTGGTTTGGGATGGCCTGAGCTGGAATGACCTGGCTTCTCTTTCCACGTCTGTCAAACCCCCGACAGCAGGTTAGCGTGTGTGCATGTGCTCATGGTAGTGACACAGGGATGTAAAAATGTCCCGAAATTTGCAAGCATTTTTAAAAGCCTCTACTAACATGAACTTTGCAGGAGTTTGATTAGCCCAATCAGTGGCCAGGCTCAGACTCAGTGTGCCAGGGGACTGTCCAAGGCCGTGGGCACAGAAGGTGTAAACAAGGGAGACTGCGGATGCAATCAAGCCGTCACCACCATCCAGAACAGTAAAAATAGACACTAGATGAGTGTTTGCTGTGTAACACAATGGAACAACTTTCTTTAACGTAACAGAACATTTTTATTATATATGATGTGTGCAACAGATCCATGTCAGGAGGTGGAGCAGTTTTCTTTATAAATGTCCTTCAATAAATACATAGGCTAATAGTATAAGTCTAAACGAACACAGAGGCAACATGGCAAATCTAGCAAAAGCTGTCATTAGAATGTGTGTGTAGTTTACCTTTTGACTTTCTATTTCATTCTACTGGTCAGTTTTATGCTGATCCCCGCACTGTGTTCACTGTGCTGTAAGTCTCTCCTGTTTCTTCTGGCTCCCTGCTTTTCCACATAGCTCGTCAGATCCCAGGCAGTGATTGTGATTGAGATTGTGTTAAACCTAATGTTTATTTTGGAGAGAATTGACCTTTTTACAATATAATAAGCTACAACAGTGAAATATTACTTCATTTATTTAATTCTTCTTTAGTAAGGTTTTGGAGCTTTCTGTGTCTAAATTTTGCACAGCTTTAATTCAATTTTCCCTAAGTATTTGATGTTTATAGATGCTGTTATTAATCTAATCAGTTTTCAATTTTATTTTCTACTGCTGCTTGCTGGAATACATTTTTAAATATATATATTGACTTCACCTCTAGTACACTTACTAAATTCACTCTTTAATTCTAATTATGCATTTATAGATTATTTTAGATGTTTTGGTACACACTATATCATCTGTGAATAGTGATGCTCTTCTTATGAAGAGTATGCATGTGTGTACGTGCACACTTTGACCCCAAGTCAGTTTTGTCTTTTTTTTCCCCAATGGCAACAATAAACTTCCAGCCGTGTTTCACTCATTCTAATCTTTATTCAATTCACAGCTGAACAACAATCCTTCTGTTATGCCTTGAAATGCTGTCTACACACATTCCTCACTTTCCCTCCCCACAGTCACTACCACTGTGTTTCTCATGCACTCTTGCGTGGACAGTATAATAATTTCCTAGTCATTCCTCATATATCATGTATTCCTTTTCACTCATAACTGACCCCCTTCTTTAAATTATACTTTTCAAATAGCATATCAACTGCTGATTTTTTTGCCCCAATGTATCACTGATTAAATCTTCATCTAAAACTTCATCTTTAGCTCTCTTCACTAAAACTCTGAATTTCTCAACTTAGCACTTAAAGCTCTACAAAATACAACCTAATTTAACTTTGCTGCCCTTTCATCTCTAAATTATGCATCAGGACAAACACTTTACTAAATTCCTATTTTTATACCTTTGCATTTCCTTCCTATAAAACTTGGCTCTATCTCCCTCTATATACTACCTATATTTGTATTCCCCTTATGAATATTTTCTACCTCTTTTAATGCTTACTGAGATTCCTACTATTTATCATGATGTTAGGAACCACTGTGCCTGGTTTCGGAAGCTATAACTCCCTATGGCTAAGGTTGAGTAAAAGAGCTTGGGACCATAAGCCACTAAGGAGACAAAGCTTATCTTCCCAGCTGGCGAGCCACCTCTTCCTCCTTTACTTCACCCTGCTTGGACCTGGGTGGATGACTGGTTAGCCAATGATGGGTAAGATTCCTCAAGGGAGGGATGACCTAAGACAGGCACGGTCATGCTTAGGCCATCATGGGAGGACTTGGGGGGGCTAGAGAAAAAGGGGGTGAGAGACCCTCACCCCTTGGCTTTGACATAGCCTGAATCCTCATTCTGTCTGTGAGAAGTCTCCTAATCTCTTGGCTGCCCTCATACCCCACCTGACTTAAGCCTGAAACAATGCTAGAGGTGGGTGCAGCCCTGTGCTGGAAAGGGTGGTTCCCCAGGGTGATCAGGCCTAAGAAAGAATGCATAAACTTCTGTGAAACCTGATTTGCTAAGAATGCCCTCAATGATAAGGGCCCAAGCATGAAATGAGTTTGTTTCCCAAAGTTTTATGGCCATTTAGCTAATTGGCCCAGACTCAGAATAAGCCCTCATAGTTCTTTGAATGTTACCTATTGTTTGATCATTACTGCCTGACAATGATTGATGAGCTTTACCTGTATTCCTGTGCAAATTCAACTCAATAAAAGCCCATTGAGGAACAGGCTCAAAGCCCTTCTCCTCTAAGAGATCAGCCACCTCTCCTCCCCAAGCACATCATGTCTTGGCACACTTATTCTCATCCACAGCAGACAGGGGGGCTCTGCCCACAGAGCCTCCCCCATATCACATATAGAATTTAATTAGGTACTGCTTTGTTTTATTACTCGATGTTTCTCTTGAGCTAACGCTGAAGTTTTCATGTGTCTTGATTTCCCAAAATCAGCTATAAATTCCTATGATTCCAGATTTAGTCAGTACTTAACTAAGGTCTAATATGCTTCGGGCATTATGGAGACAAAGTATTTGCCTGCTTTGATGACAAATACTAATAGCAAGACAAATAATAATAAAATAAACAGATATCTAAATAACACATTTTCAAATATGGATCAGGGTTATAAAGGACATAAATTAAGATACGGTAGAGTGTGATAGGAGAGGTCAACTCTGTGTTCTTCCACAAAGGAACCTCTCAGGAGACATTTTTTGTGCCAAGAACAATATGGTGAGCAAGAGTTGACCATGACCTTCGGTAAGAGAAGAGTACTCCACACAGAAGGGAAGCAAGTGTCAGGTCTCTGTGACATGAAAGGGCTTTGTGCACTGAAGGGCCAGAAAGGAGAACAGTGTGTGGAGATGACTAGAGATTGATCCGAGATGAAACTGGAAAAGTATGCAGGCCATTTAAGTACTTAAAAGACATTAAAATTATTTACGTTCTTCCTCAGAGAAATGGAAAGCCACTGAACAGATACATTGTGTAAAGAAGAGTGGTTTGGAAAGAAGAATAGAAGCAGGGAGACAAAATTTGAGGCAATTTCAGTTTCTGAGTTGAGAGATGATGCTAGCTGAAATTAAGTGGAGGTAGTTAATATGAAACAGGTAGATGGGTTCAAGAATATTTTATAGGTACAAGGACTTGGACTTGTTGATGAATTTCATCTGGTGCAGAAACAATCAATTTTGACTGAGATTACATGTGACTGACTTGGAAAGAGATAAGTTTGTGATGGGGGTGGTTCCGTTTATTACAATTTAAGTCCAGGGTGTCTATTTAAAGCCACATATTGGCAGATAAATATAAATGGGGAATAAACAGATTTGAATTAGCAGCAATAGAAGATATTTAAGACCCTGAGACAATGTATCAACTAAGAGACCAAGTAGTTAAAGAAGAAAAGGGGACTAGCGGTAGCATCTGAAGAATTCCAAACTTCAAAGTTCTGATAGAAGAGTCCTGAAGAAAAAAACAACCAAGAAGGAACAGGCAATAAGGCACTGGGAACCAGAGTGTGTCATCACAAAAACCAGTGAAAGAGTGCTTCAAGATAAAGGAATGGTTGACTGGATTGAACATGACTGAGAAGTTAGATAAGAAAACTTCCCATAGACTTAGGCAACATGAGAAATATGATGACTTTTTTCCAAGAGAATTTGATTGAAGTAGTTGGGATGGAAATCAAATTGGAATAGACTAAAGAGGAAACAAGATGGAAGGAGTCGAAGGAAGGTAAGGATACATCACTTTAAGAGTTTTTTTGCTGTAAAAGAGGGAAGAAATATATGGTGTTAGCTGGAGGATGGTATGGAGTCAAAGGACATCTGAGGGTTAGTTTTGGTTTGGTTTTATTTTATTCATTTCCAGAACACATGTGTATGCTAATGGAGATGAAATGATCGAGCGAGAAGGATGCATGATGTATGAGAGAGAATCTGTAAGCTGAGAAGTGATGTTCTAAAGAATTAATTTGCCCCCAGCCCTTTGGGCTCAAATGTGGAGCCCCCTCCTTACTGTTTCTATTAGCGAAGAGCTGGGTCCGTAGAGGCAGGCAAAGCCTGACATAGACCCAGTCACCAGGCTGACCATGAATCTCAATCTCCACTCTTTTCTGTCATCTACTAACTTCTTTGATATCCATAGCTGTTA